CGAGTGCAGTAGTCTCAGCCTCAAGCTGCTCGCGTAAGGCGCCGAGAGCAACCTCGAGCTCATCGACGCGGTTCAGAAGACGGGCAATTTCCTTATCCTTGCCGGAAACGACAGACGTAAAGTCCTTGAAGAGCCGCGCCATCTCCAACCTCCTCATCGGCCAGCGTGGCGTGGCGCGGCTCTTCAAGGACTTTACGTCTGTCGTTTCCGGCAAGGATAAGGAAATTGCCCGTCTTCTGAACCGCGTCGATGAGCTCGAGGTTGCTCTCGGCGCCTTACGCGAGCAGCTTGAGGCTGAGACTACTGCACTCGTCGATGCGCAAGCTGAGCGCGACCGCGTCCTTCGTGACGACGCTTCCGCTGCAAAGGTTGTCGAGCGGTACATGACTTTCAGCCAGAAGGCCCACGAGACTGTGCACTCTCATCTTGGCCACCTGCGATCACGCACCTCTGCTCCCCTGGATCACAACCGGGACTGAATGAGATCGCCCGCTCCGCACCCCTGCTGGAGCAACTCCTCTTGATATCCCGTGCAGCCTCTCCACTGCGAGACACGGAACCATTCCCGTCCACTGCGGAACAGCATTGTGATAGAGACAGAGCGTCGGCCGCGGAGCGGCGCCGTGAGCGTGGCGGGCGCAGTGTGGCACGGCACACGCCATGCCTGTTGCCGCCAGTCATCAGGACCCGGGCAGTGAGCGTCAGCGTGATTCCCCGCCTGACATCCAGGTGGTAGGCAAATCAGCGTGTCACGGTGATGCGGCCCTGCTCGTCCGTGAGGTGCATGCGTGTGTGCAGGCACTGCGGCGTGCGCAAACCAGAGGCTTCCACAAGGCAGAGTTCCCCAGCCGTCCACAGCTGTCTCACACGACACCCGTACCCGATCCCTCTTCCAGCGTGCAACGGGGCATACTGTGGTGACAGGGCAGTAAAAGCATGACCCATCCTCCATCCAGGGAGAGGTATTCCGAATTTGTGGGAAAAAAAGGAAATTTCCTGATTGTTGCCTACTAACGGGATTGAACCGTTGACCTTTCCTTTGCCGCATCAACTTCGCAAGCACCGCTTACGTAAGAGGAACATCTACGAGAGGAACGCACTGCCACTGTGCTAAGCAGGCGGAGGTGTTAACCGTCCAGACAAAGACTTTTGGTGTTGCGAAGTCGGGAGGGTTGAATATCAAGGGCACCGTTAAGGTTATTACGTAACCTCGCCGTGGCGGCGGCTCTGGAGATGCTCAGCCCCTCCGATCCCTCTTGTGTAGAGAGGATAAGTCTTAGGTGCAGAGGGCAGGATGGCAGGCTGCGGTATGGAGGTTCTGCGCTGCGTCACGGGAGACCTGTTTTCTGCGGTAGGCCCATACGAAACGAATACAGGTTAAGGTTGGTGCGAGCTCTCCTGCGCTGTGCGCTACGCTGTTATCGTTCACTACGACATCGCCTTCTGCTCCCAAGTCAACAGTGGTCCTGGCATCCACGCTCAACCTCATCTGCAAAAGGCCCGATGCGGTAGGAGCAGGGGCGTGTCCCTCCCCTCGGAATCGGCGTCTGTACCACCACTGATCACCTTGCATCAGTACGCCTCGTGCTGAGGACCTTCGGCACGCTCATGCGGATGACGACGAGTCGGGAAGAGAGAATGCCCCCGGAGCACTCACGTAGCGATGAATGTGCCTCGCTCAGCGCGCCCTGCGTGCCTGGGTTAGCCGGTCAATGCGGAGCACCGAAACACGGTCGCCTGGACAGTGCGTGCGGCGTCCTGGCAGGGGGAAGTTCATCATGGTATACCATTCTGCACCCAGTCTCCAAGCACTTCGAAGGTGTTGCTCGTTCGCTCCGCGCTCGTGATAACCAACGCATTGTCCATAGTGTAGAGCATCAAGAACAGAATGTCTACACATAGACGGGGAGGATGTCGATCCAGGGTGGAAGACGTGTGCCGTGCCTGGCTCGAGATTTGTCCGCGCACATCCGCACCTAGCGTCTGTTGTTGCCGTTGACCTCCAGCTGGAACTTGACGTTGCACCTCCTACACACTTGGTTCCACAGCACGACACAGCGTATAGTAGGTGACGGAAGACTGTGACGAGGACCTCTCCCCAGCTTCTCTCATCGTATCGCCTCGCCCCCGAGCTCGGCCGGTTCGCCGTCAGGACCTTCCCTCCCCGAGCTCACGGCTGGACCCGACGCCCGATCCCGCCCCGCGACACCGAGCCGCCCTCCACCTCAGCGCCCGCGTGTCCTCGAGCTCGAACCATCTCGTCGAGTCTCATTCTCTCAAGGCAAGATGACGACCGCTATCCCCCAGCCCTCACTGCCTCCGACGCATCCCCTGTCGATCGAGATCCAGTCATTGAAGCAGCAGATCAGCCAGTACCGCCAGATCGCGCACCAGAGCTACATCGAAATCCAAGGCGTCAGGCTCGAGCTTGAGCTCAAGAAAGATGAGGTTACCGGTCTGGAGAGGAAGAACGAGGCGTTGAAGCAGGAGGTTGAGACACTCCGGTGAGTATGTGCAGACAGGTGAATGGTGCGTGCAGCACACTGACTTCAGCACGACCCCGGAGCCCCCTCAGGCCCCGCCTCCCGCCAACGCCCTCGCCGAGCTGTCTCTGGCACACCGTCGTCTCTCCGCCAAGCTGGACTTTACGGAACAGCAGCTGCGGTCAGTCACGCTCGAGCTGGCATCATCGAAGCAGGAGTTGGGTCGTGTGCTTAAGGAGAAGGAACATGAGAAGGCGCTCCTGAACGAGCTGAGGGTCGGCGAGGAAGACAGGGAAGAGGAGGTCGCTTGGGAGAGGGGAGAACGGAAACGCATGGAGGAGCAGAAGAAGCTCTGGTGAGTGGGCGCGTACAATTACAGTCTAACACTCAGTGACCTTGCGATCGCCGAATACGCTGCCCTCGTCTCGAAGCTCGACCCCAGCGCCGTCCCCCCGCCACTGCCCCGAAGGCTTAGCGACAACATTCTGCAGAAGACTCCGATCTTGACCGACGCCGAGGACAAGGAGGAGGCTGTGAAGTTGGAGGCGAAGGCCGAGCCCAAGGAGAATGGCAAGCCGGAGGAGGCTGTCAAGGACGACGACGCGGAGAAGGACAGCAAGAGCGACAAGAGTGCCCCTGCGTCCCCGCCAAAGTCGACTCACAGGTCTTCTGCCTCGATTTCCTCGATCACGCAGTCATCCGACGCCATCTCCAACCTCCTCATCGGCCAGCGTGGCGTGGCGCGGCTCTTCAAGGACTTTACGTCTGTCGTTTCCGGCAAGGATAAGGAAATTGCCCGTCTTCTGAACCGCGTCGATGAGCTCGAGGTTGCTCTCGGCGCCTTACGCGAGCAGCTTGAGGCTGAGACTACTGCACTCGTCGATGCGCAAGCTGAGCGCGACCGCGTCCTTCGTGACGACGCTTCCGCTGCAAAGGTTGTCGAGCGGTACATGACTTTCAGCCAGAAGGCCCACGAGACTGTGCACTCTCATCTTGGCCACCTGCGATCACGCACCTCTGCTACTCAGGCCACCCTCAGGAACGAGGCTGCGGTGCTCCGGCGCCGCATAGAGGCCGAGGTCGAGAGGTCCAACCGCCTCCGTGCCGCAACGGAGGAAATGGCCGACGAGCTCGGCAAGGAGTCTGCTGGCCGTAGGCGCGAGGTGGCGATGCGCCTCCAGCTGATCGCTGCCGAGGAGACCCGTGCTCGTCGTGCAGAGAGCTGGCTGGACCGCGTGCGTCGCTTCCGTTCAGAAGGAGCCGAGATCGACAGCAACTTACTCGCTCCTCTGCTCGATGAAGCTGTCGCAATTCTCTCACCAGCCGCTCCCGTGGAGCCCAAGGCGGGAGGCAAGTGGAGGGGCATGTTTGGACGTCGCAAGAGCGTCTCTGCCTCCGTTCCAGCCGCTGCCACTCCCGACGAGGAGAGCCTCGCCCGTATCTTCCTCGCGGAGGAGCTGGTTCAGCATCTCGTCAACGATCTCCAGATCGAGACGGAGCGCCGCATGGAATTGGAGAAGCAGAGAGTCGCTTGGCTCGCTCGTGAGGCCGAGGAAGGTGTCCCTCCGGAAACTGACGAAGACGGGGACAAGGTGGACGACACTGGTATGCTTTTCTCTGTCGAGAACGAGGACGACAGTGAGGAGGAGTCTGCTTCCGAGGATGACACTGAACGCCCAGAGGAGAATGGTGACTTGCCTGAAGACGTCAAGTCTGAAGACAAGGGAGACAAGGAGATCAAGGAGAATGGACTGAAGAGCCCGAAGAAGAGCAAGAAAGCCCGCAAGGTGTCCAACGCTGCGGAGTCGACTGCCGGAGACGGAAATGTCAAGTTACCCGAGCTCAAGGTCACGACGACAATGGCGGAGAAGGAGCACCTCGACGAACTCCAAGCCATCTTTGAGCCGCTCGAGCAGCGCTACATTCCCCTTCAGAAGTCCCTACACGACCAGTCCGTTGCTCTTCAGCACCTGAAGACGTCTGTTCCCGAGCTCGCCCCTAGACGCCCCGGATTACGCGCCGTCAGCCTCAACCTGAAGGGCCGCTCGGAGCACGACGACCTCATCTCGCTCCTTGATGGACTGTACGAGGTCATCGAGGATGCCCGCGTCGACACCGAGATTGCGATGGCGGACGAGGACCGCGTGTTCCACGGCTTCGCGGCTCTGCTGGACGTCGGCGGCCGCGGTGTCGTGCAGGCCGCCTCGGTCCTGCGCGACGCTCGCTCCTACGCTGCCTCGCGCTCAGGCGACGGCACGACATACGCCCGCCTCTCTGTTCGCGTGAGCGACATCGAGCACGACCTCATGACGATCAAGCGCGCGATGCACGAGCACGCGGGCGAGGTCGAGCCCGAAGAGGTCCAACCGCAGGTGAACGGCATGGCGGCGCTGGGACGACGAAAGCCTTCGCTCTGGCAGTCCCTTCCTCTCAAGACGGTGACGGCGAGCCGCGGGCCCGTCCTTCTTTCCCCGTTGACTGCGCTTCGCAGTGGCAGCCCCGACCTCTCTGGCGACGACCTGATCCAGCGCCGCAGCGCATCGAGCCCGATCGGACTTCTCAGCAGCGTCGGGCGTTCGCTCAGCTCCGGTGTCGGCGCCATGGGCAACGGCATCACGGGCGGCGGGCGCAAGGTTTCCGATCTTGCTGCTGGCGCGCTGTACCTCCCCACACGCAGCCGGCGCAACACGGTTAACAGCCAGACCAGCGATGCCAAGGACGAGAAGAAGTCTGAGGCAGCTGACGAGGGCACGCCTGCCGAGAACGGGGAGAGGCCTACACCGCCTCCCAAGGATGAGGAGAAGGAGGAGCCAGAGCGCAAGGGAGAGGTCGACGATGTGGAGTAGACTGACGGCCTCTTGTCCTGTATATAATACCACGCACCCATAGACACACCAACAACATTATTACATTGTTTCCATCTGCATGTTATGACCCCTCAAGCGATCTATGCCAGGACGAGCCCGCGCGTTCGTTCTCTCTGTCAGTCCACTTTGAACCCTTCTCTCACACGTTAACTGATGATACGCGATCACTGGGGCCTCCGTGCCAGCCCAGCCCAAACCAGTCCAATGCTAAAGAGGTGCATGCGATTGCGGGCGAGAAGAGGTGTGTGATTTTAACTGCTAGAAGGAAATAGATTACCAGAACGTCCTGCGCTTCTCGCGAAGGTCGCGGAAGAGCTGCTTGCGCTCTCCCCACGAGACCTTCTGGTGCGCGAGGGCGGCCTCCTTCTTGGCGCGAGCTGCTCGGGACAGCGGGGCGACGCGGGAGATCAGCGGCGTCTGGGACTTGGGAATGTCGAGCCTGGTTGTCAGCACGAGTAGCGAGCGAAGCGAGCGGCGCGCCGGTTGTAGTTCAGTCCTCTGGGCTGGACAGCGCAGGAGGGGGCTGGCCAGCAATGTGCGAGCTGTGCGAGCTGCAGATCGACGAGCTGTAGCACGGCAATACGGCGGATAGGGCGGACCGACGCCTACCGGCAACAGTGTGTACTCACTCCTGCGCAATCTCTCCCTTCGAGTATCCCTTCTCCCTGAGCTCCCTAATCTTGGCCAGCATGCCCTCGTCCCAGCGGGGGTTGACTTTCCTCTCGCTCTCCTTCACGTGCAGGAGCGGCGCGGCCTCCTCGCCAGAAAGCTCGACCTGGTGTCCCTGCACCCACTGCGTGAACTGTGTGGGCAGGCCGAGCGTGTAGCTCGGCGCCGACGCGGGCGGGGCGTAGTGCAGCGTCAGGCCCGAGTCGAGCTGGGCCGACGACGAGGTGGGTTCCGAGGGTCCGACGAGGGCGACGGGGCGGTCGACGCTTGCGCCCTCTGTCGCGCGCGCGGGGCGCGGCTCGAACGGCGATCGCGGGATGGGAAGGCGCGTCGGGCGCGCGCGGTGCAGGACTGCAGCCGGGAGGGTTGGTCGGAACATCGTGCTTGTCGGTGGACGGTGGACGGTGGTCTGGCGAGCTCAATGATCGAGGTTCAGCGACGTTGGGCGGAGGTCTGACTTTTCGTTAGGACCCGCCGAGGCGGACAAACTGCCGCCGTGGGAGAGTTGGCCACGCGAGAATGTGCCTGGACGTGCCTTGGTCAACCCTTCGATCGATCACCCAGGTTCTCCATTCAAGCTACCTAGCGTCTCAGCAGTGGTGTGACGGCCAATGCATGGCTGTCACAAGGTGAGGGGTAACGACATGTGTGCTGTTTGTCTTTGTTTCCGTGTGCGAACGACAGGACTGCATCACTGCTCTGATTCCCCATGGCCGACAGCCCGTGTTGCTCAACGCCTTGGTCCAGTGGTCAACTTCCGAATGCCCACCGTGGGAAAGTTAAGCCAGCACCGCGCGCGTCTCGCTCCCAAAGTGCAAAGCAAGGAGCTCCGAGGTCACGTGCCGATGTAAGATCGGAGGTGGCATCCACCCCGCAAAGATAAGAAAAGTAGTGCAGCATGTTGTTTTGCAGGTGAGTATGGGTGGTGGTTGCTGACGCATGCAGCAGCGGTATGCTGGAGGTTGCAAAGGTGGATTGGCAAAAAGCAGTGCAGACAGGAAGGGAGGTCTGCAAGGGCCCGCGAGAGAGGTGTGAGGCTGGGGCTTGAAGAAAATGACGGTGGGTATGCTTTGGCCGAACGACCGACGCGAGCCACGAGCATGCGAGCAGCCGGATGGTGTTTCCAGCAGATTGAGAGATCGGAGACTAAAACCTGCCCTTGAAAGTGACGTGGCCCTTTGGACCCGAGTGTAATCAGACATTAGCGGCTGGCGCGAGATGATTAAGCGAGGGGATTATTAGCGGGATCAGATTTAACGTTGGGACATGGGATCGGATGGACTATGGAAGCGTGGGCTAGGCCAGCGGTGGTGGTTGTGAATTCCAGGTGCGCATGATGATATGCCTTCGGCCTCAGCCTCGACTCCTCCTGGCCGTAGGCGCGAGGTGGCGATGCGCCTCCAGCTGATCGCTGCCGAGGAGACCCGTGCTCGTCGTGCAGAGAGCTGGCTGGACCGCGTGCGTCGCTTCCGTTCAGAAGGAGCCGAGATCGACAGCAACTTACTCGCTCCTCTGCTCGATGAAGCTGTCGCAATTCTCTCACCAGCCGCTCCCGTGGAGCCCAAGGCGGGAGGCAAGTGGAGGGGCATGTTTGGACGTCGCAAGAGCGTCTCTGCCTCCGTTCCAGCCGCTGCCATCTTCCAGCGTGCAACGGGG